GCTGCTCACCTGTGCATGTCTGCCTGTCGATTACTGTGCACACACACACACACCTCTCCAGCAGTGACCCTGCTGCTCACCTGTGCATGTCTGCCAGCCGTGCCAGCACGTGTGCGGCCTTGCTGAAGTTCCTGCTCTTCTCGTAGTAGCGCCACAGCAGGTCCATGTAGCGCACCTTGTTCTGGTCCTGCTTCATCATGCGCATCAAGTGCTCCTCCAGGTACGGGGAGTTTACCTGCGAGGAAGAGGACGCCGTGCGAGTGAGCAGCTGAAGGGCTTCGAGGAGGGAGCAGTAAACTCACAACAAGCTGGAGACCCAGAAGTGTCGATCTTCCTTTAAAAGACTTGCGCAATTTGAATATGAGCATTCAAAATGTTTTTGGGCCTTCATTCAGTCAACCCTGCGGACTTCTTCAGAATGAATGCTGAAACACCAATTGGAGGGCACAGGTGGAAACTACGTGGTAGTGCATTTAAAACAGGCCACACAGCAATGTTGTTGAAGCTGATGCCCTGGTTTTCCTCGATTTAGCCACCAACTCCGAAAACCAGAGTTATTTAAATCTCAGTATGATTCTACAAAAGTCACCAGGTCAAAAATGCTCTGACCCTCAGTGCATTTCCCTACAATGCTACAGAGGCATGGTACCATGTTCCTGCATTTAATTCGCCTCGATTGTTAAGAAAGCTTTCACCAACAAGCTTGCAGGATAGTCTATTCTTTAAAACCAGACCTTTTTCCATGTAAATGGGGAATTTACATTAGGTTCCAAAGCTGGCAACAGTCAAACACTGCCCAGGACACTCATCAGCATGCAACAGTTCTTTATGTGCCTCCGGAAAATTATTTTTTTCCACGAATCAATAAAAACCCACTGTGTAGGAGTCTAAGGCCATGATTTAAACAGCCCAGTTGGATTTGCAAACATCTGTTGAGTGTGGAAGAGAGAACTGTGCTGTTCAAATTCTCTGCAGGGACTGTTTAAGTCATGCTGATCGCACTCCTGAGATGCTGTAGCTCCCTCTCACCTCCAGCAGCTTGTCGGTGAGGTCAGCCTGGATGAGCCAGTTGTAAAGGGCGATGTGAAAGAGCTCGTCCTTAGAACGCTGGGCTAGCCCGATCATCTGCTCAAACTGTGGACAGAAAAGACACAAACATGCGTCTTTTAGACGTCTTTTAAGTTTTTAGACATAAATACATGTTCTGTACTTATTGTAAAATAAAATGAGTATTATCTATCTCTATCACCCTGGGTCAAGTTTCATTTTAGTGCTAAATCCCAACATCAAACTCCAGGCTCGTTTACACTAAACTATGGACCTAATCACTTAGAAATTCAGAGCACATTAATAAACAAAAAGATGATTCATAATCAAAAGTTCTGCAAAGATAAAGACAGCTGTGTGCTGCTGCCCTTATTTCTTGAGAAAAAATAAAGCATCTATGAGCTTTCTTGGACAGACACTACAAAGTTCAGTATGGGGCAGCACAGAAGTCTTTCTGAAAACACTTTGCACTCTAAGAACAGAAACTGAGATCAAGGGACAAAGGTAGGGGAGTGAACCACCTTCTGGATTAAAAACCAGCCCAACATGTAAGATTACATTTGCGAGACAGAAACCACATTGCCCCTTCTGAAAGCAGTACTGACATGTGCAGCTGCGTCTTCGTTGCTGAGCATGTTGGGGTCTGATGACATCACGGGGGGGCCGGGCTGCTTGGGCACGCTGGGAGACTGGGGGGCCGCCTTGCTCTGATTCACCAAATCCTGCATTGCGTCGGTGATGCACTTGTAGCTGTTTAACCTGCACACAGGACCACATGGTCATCCATCAGCTCGAAAATCACAACACCCCGAGCAGCAGGTCAACACAACACTTCCTCATCCATCTTCATTTTCATTTTCCTTCATCACACCTGTGGTGTGAGTAACTGCACTGGAGTACGTACAATTATTCATAATTTAATACCTGATCTGCACACCCAGTCATTTATCTAGCAAAATGATACCATACTTCAGAATTCTTAATTTGGCAACCTCCTATTTTAATATTTTTTGGACAATAAAGATAAAGCAGTGGATTGGGGCTTGCACATACTACTGAACAAATAATGAGCCTACATCTGGTATGTACATCTGCACACCAGCAGTACAAAATGACATCAAATTTATTCAATAGCATGTGATGCACCCAGGGCTTGTTACTAGTGGGTGGTACTGAATGAGCGGTTTAATCAGAAACCGAACGTAAAATCAGAAGGAGGCCTACCTCTCCTGGAAGGCTTGTTGTCCGGCAGCATCCTCTTCAGGCTCCCCGTTCTTGTAGAAATGGGGTCCCAGCCTCTGGGGGTCCTTCTTGTCAGCTGCAGTCAGACACAACTCCACCACTCCCTCATAGAAGCGCACTGAGCCAGAGAGAAAGACAGGGACCGTGACAGCCACAGCTAGGTCTGTGTGAAACACAGGACGCCTGAGGGACAGCTGAGACACGAGCATCCAAGAGGATAGCAAGACTACGGCTATGGTCCAGGCCAGGCCCTTTCCTTAAGCTTTTACAAGCAACTTCAGTCAGGTGACATTAGTCCTGAGTGATTACACAAAGAGCCTGTTTCAAGAAACTGAAGGCTCAACTGGAATGAATACCAGATCAACCAACTGCTCTTCTGGACCAGAGCTGCAAACCAGTGGTGTGAGTAACATTTGCTATAGGAGGATGCAAATACCTTTCTTTCTTAAGCAAGTTGGTCTACTGATCATCAAACTGTCACTACATCAAATGTGCATGTATGCAATTAGGTTTGAAAAATAGTAGCGCTTTGTTTTGCTTTGCCCTGTCAAACAAAATAACACAACGCATAGCACAACTGTAATTGGCTCCTCAACCCGAAATCACCTGTGCATGAGAGCACAAACAGCTAGTATTGGAAGCCACTGACCAGATGCTGCAGATCTGAAGCACCTGTATTGTGCTTAAGCATGTTTTCCTGGCACAGGGCCCCAAGTCCCTCCCTCAGAGCAGCTAGGATCCCTCACCTTGGCGGTACTGTGCGCACACGTGGGGCAGGTCCGTCTGGTGGCTGATCTGCTGGTAGAGGCGCAGTGACTCGCGTAGCATCTTCTCCCTCTCCGCCTTGTTCTGGATCTGCCTGGTGCTCTGCAGCAGCTCGTTAGCCTGGAGGACAAGACAGGTTCTCTCAGCACTGGTGGCCCTAGAAGCCACTTATATCCAAACAAATAAGAGGCAACCTCTGACCTTCTATTTCCATTGCCCTCATTTACCATTTTGGTTAACTTCCCTCTTTAAATTTCTGTACCTTTGGAGTATTTTGTTTGTCTTCTAATTTCATTTCATGAACAGGCTGGTAGCTCCTAAGCCTCAAAGGTATTATAAAAGTTGCATTTCCAGCCACTTGTGTCCAACCTGTCCAAAACCCATTTTCAAATGCCAAAGAGAGAGCAAATTCAGACGGTGTCAATCTGGGCTGTACATCAGCCTCCTACTTTAAATCATAACCCAGTAGAAAAGGCATCAGACCAAGGCAAGAGCAAACACACCTACTCCTCTCCATGCTGGGGAGGGTGGGACTCACCTTGGAGCACACCGAGTCATCGCTGCTGTACAGCAGGGGGCAGGTCTCACGGAGGTGGCAGCTGATAGCGTCCACAGAGGCGCTGTCCTTGATGTAGCAGTTAATGAGGGAGGTGATGAGCGCGCCCGTCAGCTCCCTCCCTCGGATCACAATGTCCTTGAAGCTGCTCACCTTCACCTGCTCCTGAAACTCCTGGAAAACGCAAAGAAAAAACGTCAAACTTCTTCTGCCAAGACCACAACCAACCACTAAGAGGTTAAAGGTGCTGAATCAGCACACTCTGGAGCAGAGGAGAGTGCAGGGGAAGGTTTGACTGTTGTATTTCAAATCCAGACTGTCTAAACAGAAGGACCTGTTCAGAAACAAGAGGGGGAACCCAGAGAAAATATGATTCCTTATAATCGGTTATAGGATGCAAAGCATTTCACAATCTATAAGAGCTGGTGTCTGGAGGAAACCACCCAATCACAATTTCAAAGGAAATTCCCTGAGGCCCTTGAAGAAAAGCTCTTAGCTTAGCTTTTTAGATCACAAGGACAAAGTCCGAGGTGTCATGTCTGCATGCAAACTGTCCAAAACTAAAAGCGTGCCTTATGTAGAACATCTTATATACATCTTAGAAACAAAAAACATGTGTTTTGCAAAAAACAGGTACCAGGACAGGAACACACAGACCTTGAAATAAAAATAGCTTTGCCAAGGTGCAGTGCTAGGGGAGACAGCAGAGCCCTTCAGCGAGAGCTCTTGCTAAGTGCCAGTGGGGTTTGCAGGGCTCACCTTGGGCAGGTCATTCAGGATGAGGCCAAACTGGTGGTCACACAGCAGCTTCCACAGCGCCAGGGTCTGACAGGTGTGGTGGACCAGCTGCTGGATCCCCTGGAGCGAGATCTTCTCGTAGGCCTGGGCCTCGGCTGCAAGATCAGAACATCATCATCATCATCACCACCAGGCATCGTACTTGGGACCATGCTGCAACATCCTGCTGAGGACTGTGTACAGCAAGACATTAATTATCGCCACAGCTACTGTCTTAAGTGCCTCCTGATGAACTGAATTACATTAAAAACAGAAAGCTCTTCACAGGGAGGCTGGTATCCTTTCAGCCTTTAGGCCAAACCAAAAAGAAGCAACAATGACTTGTTTCATTGCACCAGCAGGTTTATATGCGCACCTTGCAAACTGCAATATGACTAGCTCTCCTTTTAAAGCAAAGCATAATCGGTCCTCTGATCAATTTCTCAAGTCTACACTTCCACATGCAATGTAGTTGCTACATCCTTCCTTCAGATACATAACAGTAATTGGATTTCTAAAAGATGTAGAATAAAACCATTTTATTGAGAAGACACAAAAATGTACCCACCAGCAGCCATGGAACAGATTAGCCCCGAGCCAGAGATAAATCATAAGCATAAAAATATGACCTTTATTTTGAAAATAAACAGATGGTAGTATCACCTATAGGTCAATACAAATGAATTGCAGATGCTGGTTAAGGCAAGAGTGATTTGCTCAGCACGATATCTGTTTCAAAAGCAAACCATCTAGTTTAAGAACTAGATATGGAGGATGAGAATACAATTATCCTAAAACTTAAAAGCAAGCTACTTACCCACCAAAAGGAAGCAGATAAGTGCCAAGTGCATGTTTTACATTTTCATTCACTACTGGAATACACAGTCAAATCAGCCTTTTTTGGTCAGTAATTTGGGATTGAACATCTCTAAAGGCAGGCAGGTCACTGAAACGAACGTCGAAACACGGGGTGTGGCAGGAATGTGGAATGACGCAGGGGCACTTACTGTGGTACTTCCTCTGCAGCTCCTGCTGCACTTGCTGTGAACTGCCTCCATCCGGCCGCATGAATCCCAGCAGCCTCTGCTGCAGGTTGCCAGGGGAGCTGAAACTACAGCACAGACACGTTACTGAGATGGGCGTGACTAGGTGCTGCTTTCACATTAATCAGACACAGAGGGGCTGGACAGCATCAGCCACATCTTAAAAAAGCTCTTACAAGAATATGAGTACCTCTACCAGTAAGAACTAACACATATTTTATGACACACTTGGTCCTCAAGGCCCAAATATTCCAAAACTCTGTTTATAACTTGGGTCATTAAGGTCTCAAGTATATCCATCAAGCTGGAAATCACTGTGTCTTAAATATTAATAAACTACTATCTACCAAATTGGCTGCATGGGTCGGATGGCCTCCTCTTTTTTGTAACCTTTACACAGTTTTTTCCTACCTGACAGCTCCCAGCGAGCCAGGGCTGAACTGTGAGTTCTTATCCAGGAAATCCTTCAACCCCCTCAGCTCCTGAAGTACCGATTCCAGGACTGAGGAAGGCACAGAGCTCTCCATCTGAAATTGAGCCATTCATCAGCTCAGTCTTGCAGACACAGCAGGCATGTGTCAGCCTTTTCTGCCACATGAAAAACATGCTAAACTACTATGCTGTTATTTATTTTCTTATTCGCATATTATTGCATTAGTTATGCCAACACCACAATTCAGGAGATAAAGTGAACAGCCATTTGGTCTTCGATATCAAGAAGTAGATTCACACCCAAGCTCAACAGCTTCTATACACATATTGCTCGAACATCTCAAAATATTAAATAGAAACGCTTCCTTTCTATTTTGAAGTTCTACTCACAATGGTGACCTGTTGATTTCCTGTACTGATGGTCTTCTCCGTTGCCAGGCTTCCATCCCAGATATTCCTATCAAAATAAAGGAAGCACTTTTCAACGCACAGCCACAGATCAGCAGCCAAAACTTCAACAACACACTGTCATTGGACATGGTGCTGAAATCAACGTCCAATACAGCTATCCTTCAAAATCTGCTCGTCATTCTGGCTTGCCGTTCCTTGCTTGCTACCTAAGAGAGACTAATTACAAATCGTTATTCCATTCACACTTTGCACAATTCTATCCACCGACTGGCGTAGCCGAGCTGGAGCGAGCAATGAGTTGCTGAATACGAGGCAACTGTGTAGGGACGAGTTGTGTGTGAGTGGTGTTAGCAGTGGGATCAGAGCAGGAGCCTTACCCCAGGATCCTGCTGAAGTAAATGCAGATGCCGTTATGCTTCCCCGAGAACACCACCTCCGGTCCAGCCATGGCAGTGATGGGCGCTCCAGCCTGACCCATGGAGGGCGCCTGCACAAAGGGGGTGGACACACTCGGGGGGTAGGACCCTGAGATACAGAGGGGGGGCGACAAGAGACATGGCATGTGGCTGAAAACCAGCTATGACAAAGTTTTAAATATGCTCTCTGACCGAAAATATCCTTCTGAGACAGAAAAGCTTGGAGAAATGAATTTTAAAAGCCCGATATCTTAATAGTGTCAGTGGTGTGCAATGCCAAACACGCTGCAGCTGCCACCTAAGACTGAAACAGCACACAACACATCTGCTCGACTTGCCATACCTCAAGAGTATCTAACGTACCAAGCCGATGACTGTACTTCTGAAAGCGACAAGCGAAGCTTCCCTGTCACAGAGATTTCTGCATGTAAAGATCATTACCCCTTCCCAGACTGTGACCCGTGCAGACTTGTGTAACTACATGCTTCATTAGCATGCGGTTCGCTTCACACTGTCTACAGCTGCATGATGTACTTCAGAACTGTTCGTTTTAAGCAGCCAGCCCTATCCAGGTCATACTACAGAGCTGTAGAATGAAACGAACTAAAGATGGAGAAACTGTTCTGGTTAGGATGCTGAGAAGGAAAAGAAGAAGGAAAGGACAGGGCCTGTGTGAAGGCCAGAGGTAGAGTACCTGGAGCAGGGGTGGCCAGGAAGCTGGGATTGGGAACTGGACTGCTGATGGGCAGAGGGGAACCTACAGCAAGAGCAAAGGATGAAAACAAACATCACTGCGATGACTTAATGCTGCACAACACAGAATCAAAGACGTCTCAAGGACACACCTACACCGTGCTAGAAGTCAAGAATCTCTCAAACCACTGAAGCTTAAACAGCAAATTGGCAATATTGAGATTACAGAAAATCATGTTCAAGTGCACTATAGGCTTGAACTGAAGTTACTAAAAAGGCTTTGAAAACCGGTCTTCCTAGTGTCCCACAGCAAAGAAAGTTAAGAACTCTGGAAGTAAGGCATACCTGCAGTGTTGAGTAATGATCCTGCAACAAACGCTCCACTGATTTCTGAGATGCACCCCCATCCCGTTTCTCTTGTCACTTACCAGGCACGGGTGAACTCAGCATGGGTCCCACGCTGCTGACAGGAGCTGACAGGGCAGAAGCGAAGCGCATCTGTGCCTCTCCTCCATACCTGCAACACAGCACGCACAGAGGCCGCAGTTATATACCAGGGCTCCAGCAACTCCAAGAATTTCCAATGCGGTTCTGCAGGATTGTTACACCAAATCCAGCTGCGTTTCACTGCCTCCTGAAACAATGCGATTCCCAGGCTCCCCGGTGACAGGTCACAGCTGACCCTGGAGATGCAGGGAAGAGAAAGGTGGAGGCGAGAGACAAAAGGCGGGCTCAGCTTGTGGACAAACTAGGCGCTGCAGCACAGTGGAAGCGTCACAAGATGGAGCGAAGTGAAAGTGAGAAGATTACTGCTTCGATTTGAACTCTTATTTATTTGCCCCGAAGTAGCTTAGTTGGCCCGCTTTGCTTATATCGGTATCTCAAGGAGTCGGCTATTGCTCTGAAGAAAAAATTGGAGTTTTTTTTGTTTGTGAGTAATTGACTACTCGCAGAGACAATGTGTGCTGGAAACTGCGTGGAGAAGCACCATGACAATTGTTGTTTTTCAAACCCTTGCTCCAACTGACTTGTTACAAATCTAGCTGACACCAAATTTTCAAAACCTTGCTGTAATCCTGCAAACTGCATCACCTCAGTTTCTCTCCTGCAGGAACTGAAGCCACCACTCCTCATTATACTTTGTTACAATTAGCAGCCTTTAATTGATTAAAAAAACTTTTTATCTTCTACTTAAAGCACTTCTATACTTACAAAAGCCAATGAAAGATAGATTCAAATCAAGAAAATGGAAATCCTGAAACCAGGCATTCACTGAAAAATTAGAGCATCAGAAACACCTGGCTTCCATCATGCTATTTTGTATGGGACAACATCAAAACAAACCAGTGCCCACATATACGTTAAAATTTTAAATTTAAAACTTTTACTGCTGCTTCATGATAATTCCTCTGAGAAGTCTTCCACTGACAAATGCACCAGTTTTCTGGAAGAGGCTGAAAGGTGCCGCACCTGAAGAAGGCCCTGGAGGCCCACAGGGACACCTCTCTGTCATAGGCAGCGCTGGAACAGGCCAGGATCAGAGCGGTGGCACAGGCCTGCTCCTCCTGCAGAGACACAAGATACGTCCAGCGTGAGGGACCGCAACATTGGGAACAGAAACCCTAACTCCAATGTGCCACCGCTGTGGCTCCTAGTAGGATGAAATGCAATCTGTAATTCGAAAATAGCATAAACTGATCACCACTGAAGCCAGCGGCGCTCCGCAACGCTCACCCTGTGCAGCTTGAAGAATCTCTCGATCTCCTCCCCATCTCCCCCGGCACAGCTCACCAGCAGGTGCCTCAGCTGATCCACGGGGCGCAGCTTGTGGAAGATGTGACTTCCCTGAAGCAAAGACACAAGCGTCTAGTTCTGCGCAGACAGGGCCGCCCTTCTGTGAGGACTCCAGCACAGGACACACTCACTGGGCTCATTTCTAGATGCAACGCGGTCAGTTCCAATGACACTTTCTGATTATTAAACCCTCTGGCAGGACACAACAGGCGGCTGTCTTTTGCCTCAAAGCAAGAAACTTTTCTTTGGCAAAAATTGTTTTCAGGCGCTAATTCTGCAGAAAGAATACTTCAAGCAAATAGCATTATCATTTGGAAAGCCACACAAAAAGCTCCAATTTTAAAAAAAAGTAACTAAAAGGACATAAAAAACATTTCTTAGGTACTGCATCTGGTCATTATAGATCCAGATGTGTTGGATGCCCAGGAAAAATAAAAACCAAATGGTACCAGAAACAATAAACAGAAAGCCTGCTACTCCTCTAGTGCACCTGAAGCACTAAGGCTGAGGAATCGGGCAGTGTGAAGGTACCTTGGCCGAGAGAAGGACGAACTTCTTAGGGGGGATGTTGTGCTGCTGAACCACGACTGGAGAGTCTGTGTGTGGCACAAGGTCCCTGTTGAGCGGAGTCACGACCTTCACTGCCCTCGACTCTTCGACCGCACACAGAGACCACGTGTGTCCATCCACAGTCGAGGTCATCTGTGGACGACAGCAAACACTGCAAGGCACTGCTGGGCAAGACATTATCTGTCCAAACCCGGCCATGATGTCAGCGTCAGACATACACAAGGACACACAATGCAAAACATTTCAGTTTTGAGGAGGCCTTCCAAACTTCACTTTCCCGCAAGCTCCGAATGTCACTTTAAAACAGCATTTAAAGGGGAACTGCAGTCCCAATTTCCCAGACCGGTTATTAAATAAATTAATTCACAGAACAAATTTACAAATTTCAAATCAAGAACTTTGTCAAAGTACCGTAAGTCGCCATGTTGTCGCAAACTAGCATTCGAGGTCCCAGGAATTGTGATGTGATACGGCCCTTCGTGCTCACTAGTCACCATAAAGATTAATATAATGTAATGTAAGAGCAAATAAATACAGTTTACAATTACAATAACTGATAAAAAATACATGTATCTTCTACTTCAATCTCATTGGCAGGAAGCCATTTGTCCCATCTACCATGTTTGGGAGTAGTTAAGAGATTTAAGGATCTATTTAATCCATTCACTATTTGGAAGAAGCCAGGGCAATGGCTTCATCAACATGTAGCTTGTTTCACACTCTCCCAACACTTTGGGTTTTGTGAAGTACCTCCTGTTCTTGCTTTAAATCCTGTGTCCACACGTTCTTGTTTCACTGAATGATTCCGATTCTTTACAATGCTTTAGATATGAGAGCACAAATAGCCAATTATGGGACTAACGTATTAAATATCCAATAAACCTCATCCTCGGGGGTCCTGGAAGCACACTCAAGTTTGCTGGATGCTGCTGAAATGTACCTGTGCTTCCATTAAGGGTTTCTTGAAGGGGAAAGAGTCGTGGTTGATGCACCACAGGATATCGCCATCTTCTGTTTCTGAGGCGGCCATCAGCAGAACACCTACAGCAGCGACAAAATCGCAAGAACACAACTGTGCTTGAAGAACAGCACTAAAACACCAATTATGCTTCAAACACTGTATGTCTGTCTAAAGTCTACTCTTGCACAAAGTCTCAATGTTAGTGGTTAATAATGTCTTGATTTAAGGCACCTTTGCTGTACAGGGCTTTGTGGACTTTGGAGGGTTTCTGAAGTGTGGCGGAGGCTGAGAATCCTGGAGGCAGGCGGACATGGACCAGAACCAGCATGCCGGGTCGGGCAGAGGTGTGCCTGGCGTTGGGTGGGGAGAAAGGCGTGGTGCTGAAGTATAGGCGAACACCTGCAGAGACAAAGTCAGAACAAAACTCCAGAATCCCGAGGGGCCAACTTTTAGACACAGGCTGGCTGACTGACTACTAAGAGTTAGATAACAGGGGCAGCACTCTGGACTAGTAGTGAGGTTCTGTGGGCTTCTGGACTCTAACAACTCAATTGCTGTGGGTTTGAATCTCACTGCTGTTGTACCTTTGAACAAGACAGTTCACCCAGACTACTCCACTCAAATACTGCACTGTGGAAATGGGTCTTATACATTTAACACCTGCCTGTACATGCGAGGGTGCCTCTCTATCACACCTGTCCGTACCTGCATGTGTAATGGCCAGCAGGTGGCAATCCGAGGACTCAGACCTCTCAATCACTGCAATCTGAACAATGGGCTTGAAGACCGACCGATCAATAGTCCTGAGTGAGGAAAAGGAAAGAAATCGAAGCAAACACAGTAAACCTCAAACCCCACAGATGCCGTCGTGGTAAAAGTGATTCTCTCTTTGCGAGCAGGGGCCTGTACAGTTGTCGAAGTGAAAACACACCTTGCGATGTTGCCCGCAGCTGACACGATGGAATTCTGGGACATGCCGGCCACTCTGCTCATCCCCTGTCCGTCCACTCCCAGGTCATAAACCTAGGACAACACAGGGCTGGGATTAGCACGGCCCTCTGAACAGGACACAGACTTTTGCCACACTTTTAACATACCAAACTTTCTGCAGCACACCAAATGATTAAAAAGGCAGTACCGCTGCAGGAAATAACTAAGTACATTACAGAATTTTTTTACTAGGCTTTCCTTGTGCCGTCTACCACTGGATCTCCTGAAAAAACACTGGGTGAAAGTCCTACCTGAATGACTCCCTTCTCTGAGCGGGTGTAGAGAGTGTTGCGACTGTTGTCGATGGCTATCTGGACAATGGGATCTAGAAAAAAAAAAGAAATAATTAATCTGCCTCATACAGGGCAACGTGCTGGTGGCACACCTACTGAGGTCTACAGTGCACCCTCAGTGGTACTGAGACCTCTGAGCTGCATCAATACACCTACAAACCAACATGGAGAATTTTACTGATACCGTTTTGCCTGGAACAGGCAGAGAGCAAGAAAACAAGCTGAAAAGCGCCCCAGAATCGCTGAGAACAAGAGCAACAGGAAACCCAGCTCTAAGGACGTGAACCCCAGAGGCGGCTGGTCGGGCGACTCACCGTCCTCGGAGAAGGTGAACTGCAGCACGGAGGGAATGAGGAAGGAGAGGGTGCTTTTAGAATGGTTGATCTTCCTGCAGCGCTGGCTGAACCATCCCGCTTCGGCCTGGGATACGAAGAAGGGAGCATGTGGTGAACAACCCCGCCAAAGAACTGTCTGCCAACAGGCCGTGTGGGTAACACACCCCTGAGCTTTCTCCAATCGACTGATATACTGATCGGAGAAAGAAGTCAACAAAAAGACCCTTTCTGCAAAAATCCAGTTCTCAGAGTTCAACAACACAAACTCTAACCACAGCTGGGTTCATTTCAAGCCAAAAGGTACAGAGCTGCAGGACTTGGACACAGTGCAGGTGTCCAGAGGTGGTTGCAGGGATGCATTCATCTGCAATAATCAAATTGTTCTTCATGAAAACACCTATACTGAGAGCCAAGTCAGCAAGTAACAAACACAGGTCAAAAGGAGTGCATCACGTTCTTCTTCCAAACCCACTGATTACTTAATCCTCCAGAAAATATAAAGGTTATTAATACTGACATCTCAGTAAAACTGTGAAATCGGTGGCCCTTCTCCCATTTTGTCTGTGGAATGAGCAGCGGTTCTAACTGCAGACCTCTAAAGAAAACAAGGAACAAAACTCCATTGTCGAAAAAATGAACCAACAAATACTAATGCAACTGGTGCAATGGGCCCTGCCGAGCCCAGGCGAGCACAGAGGGACAGCTCTGCTCTGCTGCACAGCACCAGCTTCAGGGAGTAGGAGTCTCTGCTGTACCTGATAGGCAATCTCGTACAGACAGCCGTCCTTTCCCGCCAGGAATATGCGCCCCAGGTCGGTGGAGGTGACGGCCAGCAGGTAGGTGTTGTCAGTGGGGATGGAGTACAGCGGGTCAGGCAGCAGCTGCATCCCGCTGGACATGCTGTCATTCAGAGCCCCTGACATCGGCCGGAGAGACAGGTAAAGCGTGACTGAGATGCCGCAGCTCTTAACACACAATAAAACCTCAGTATTGCCAAACCATCACCTAACACTGTCAACACGGTGGAGGGACGTCTTCAGAATGAACAGTGAAACACGAACCAGAGGGTGCGAGTGGGAGCGATGTGGAAAAGCATTTAAAACCCAAGAACAGAAGGCGCCACATTTTCAACGTGCGTTGAAGGAAAACCATGCACGCAGGAAATAGAATGACCGAAAACATCCCCTTACAGTGGTCCAGTTCGGTTCGGTAAAGACCAGGAGACCGAGGCCCTACCTGCCTGGGAGCCAGGGAAACTCAGCCCAAGGATGACGACGTCCACCGGCGTAGCTAGCACCAGCAGGTACTGGATGTGGGGCTGGAAGATCCCTGCAGAGGACAAAGCACACGGGTGTCACGTCAGGCTCTGCTGTGAGGCAACTTCAAGGCCCGGCCCCTATCCAACTCCTGAAAGCAGCCCGGGGGGGGGTCACTGACAGGCTTGTGACAACAGATGCACAAGTACGCTGCAGATCGCACTGCCCATGGCGCCAGTTTAAAAAAGAAAGCGAGTTCAGCATCAGTAAGCAGGTACAATTTGCTCTTACCTTCTTTTGGCTTTACGAGACCCACAGACAGAATGGTTTCGCTAAGGCCATCAAAGTAGGCAACATCCCCCCTGCCGTGGAGTGAAAGAGAAATATTGTGATCACTATTCTCATTACTCACCCACTCCCCACTATTACATGCCATGGCCAATTATGGCCGGTCTGGCACGGGAGGGGTTCACATCCATTTTAAGTAAGACCTGTCATTTATGAACATTTTCGAGGACAAATCAATCTTGAAAAGGTTTAGAAGGGAAAGGGTGAGCAACCAGAGTGATGCCCAGTGGGGGCAATCAGTACGTACCCATCCTCATAGTTCCACATGAAAATGTCATTGTCGATTGTGAGCCAAGCCCTGCTGATCTCTGGGAAGACTCCCATCATGCAGTTGCACTGCATGTCTGGTGCACAGAAGAGGTAAAGAACCCAACCAGCGCAAAAGGAACAAACACACGACTTCTACAGAAAATATCAGTGCTACACTGCAGGGTAAAAAACCTTGCTCTTTGCTGTTTTGACGCTGTAGCTAAGGCCCAACTTAAATCAAGACACTATCATGGCTGGCAACTGCCACCTGATGACACAAACAAAAAGAGCTTCAGCATTAAAGCTTAATTACTGGCGAACACTTCAGCAGCAGGCAATGGACGCACCACAGCCACTCGTCCCTGCTGTGCCGGACTGTTTCAACTAGAGCAGAAACACACGAGGAGTTGTGGGGAATTCTTACTCTCTAGCAGAAAAGACAAGAAGGTCTTGGGCACAGTCTTGGGCCCCCAAGTGCCTGCTGGGGTTGGAAGCTCACAGCTCGAAGGAGAGCGAGGCAGCTTCAATTTGGAAGACCGAAGACAAATGTTGAAACATCTACAGCCTTGCTATTTATTAATAATCAAGTGGAACTTTAAAAAGACAGAAGTGTTAGGTGTTAGGCTGCTTGTTGTAGTGCCATTCTTGTATTGACATGTTGCTGTGCTGAGAGTTGCGCTGCACTCTTTCTTCTCCTTACCCCAGCAGATGTCTAAAACTACCTGCAATCAGACAGAGTACATTCACTGTTATTTGTACAAGACAGCGACGAGAGAAAAAACGTAACCCATGCTTTCGGGCCACCCGTGCTGTTAGCTTCGGGGAACATTCACACAGGATGGAGTGCAGATGGAGAAAGCAGGATCTTGGAGCACAGAAGGATACGGCTGAACTGCTCCACCAGCTCAGGGGGCAGGGGTACCCTGCGGACTGGGCTGATCTCGGGCAGGCTGGGCACGGTCAGCAGCCCAGGGCCCTGCAGGGGGTAGTCCATGTCCGACATTCCCGACAGGGAGGGCATGTCTGTGCACGAGGGGAAAAGAGGGTGAGAGTCGGTCCTCACGCGATGCTTAAGCTTCCAAAACCTATTCTGTTCCTGCCTTGCATTATTTCTCTGCATTCCCCGATCAGAAAGAGCAAACACAGTGCTATCATTGCATTCATCAACAAGCCACCTGAACACGTTTTACATCTGCTGGGATTCTGGGCTTTGTGTTCAACCCGATCCCAGCCTGCAGTGCGCTAAGTGTTTTACGTTACTAATACACCCATACCACTTTTTACGAATGTTCTTCTTATGAAAATTCGATACTACAAAGCATGTGAATCGTTACCCACATTTCGAAAAACAAAAGCCAATTTTGTATCTACGAAGAACCGATGCCAAATGCAGAGAGTGAAGAGGAAGGCGTCATACGACTCATTTCATACCGAGTGTGTGCATCACATTCCTCTAGCTAGTATGGGTGAGAGTGAGCAGAGAGCCTGCGCAGGGGCACAAGAGAAATATGTGATACAGTTCATCGTTTCTTGCTTTATGCGCTCTTGTGTGCGCTCTTATTTTTCACAAGAGTATTTGTGGTTTAAACTTTATCGTGGTGTTAAGGAGGAAATTGGAGGGTCTTAAAGAGGTGTTAAGAAAACTTAAGTGTGTAATTACACTTAACTAGATAATACATGTTTTTATTACTAAAAACACAAACAACAGTATGAATGTTAGTTGTTATTATTATTATTATTATTATTATTATTATTATTTTGATGTACGAAAGAGTTTCTGGGAACGGATTATATTTGTAAAAAGAGGTACCGGTGTAGATCATAAAAAGTGTCATAACATGCAAGTGTAATCAGTTTTATTTCTAACATAATGTGTGAACTGCACATATGAATCATCCTGCTCTGGAGTCACTACAGGGGACTGTAACTTTTTTACAATGTCCTCTCCTCAGTTTTCAAAGGTCTACCAAAGACTGGTATGGTGCAGGAAGGCAGACGGGCGAACGAGTCGATGCTCACTGTGCGCCGGGACGTTGAGGAGCTCCGAGAGGTCAGGGAAGCAGCGGTCGTCCTGCAGGTGTCTGTCGATGAGCCTCCCGGTGTTCTCCAGCGCCTCCTGCAGCGCGGCCGCAGGATTGCTGGCACCCAGGCTGGACGGCATGGTGTGGGGAAGAGCCACCTGCCGCAGGCGAGGAGAGATTCAGGTCAGCGCAGCCCCATGCCGAGCCGGGCAGGAATTGACACCACGAGTGAGAGAGCAGTCCAGCACCACAGTCCAAACCAGACCCACATGCCCGCTGAGCCCATAGGACGCTTGAGTGAAACCTGCGGAGCAATTTTATTTTCTACTTAAAAGCTGGACGTCTTAAGCTACTACTGAAAGTATAGCAACGAAGACAATTCAAAGTCAGCCTCCCAACGCTTAGGAACTGTAAACAAACTAACCCTATTATGAGGTCAGCTAAGGGTAAGATTATGTAACTGGTAGCTGGACTGGAATAAAAACCAGCAGACATGGGGGTCTCCAGGATAAAGGAGGAGAACCCCTAACCTAGAACAGGCACTCCCAAATGGGTAACTTGGGCCAGTAGGTGGTGCTCTTCCTGGTGCACCAGGATTTTGAAACCAGTGCCACACTGCGCCGGGGGAGGTGTTATCTTTCAAGTGACACGTTCAAGCTGGCTGCTTGGTCCTTAAAGATCCCAGGGTGCTCTCTGGAACAGTAGGGGTGTTTTCTGTAGGGGCAGGCAGAGGAACAGTAGGGGCATTCCCTGCCAAAATTCCTCCCTGGGCCTCCCTAAAGCTGCCCCTGAACTGAACTGGTGAGCTTCTCGCTCTGCCTCCTGGTCATCATGAGATACAAGCGTGTCGCCCTCGTATCTGGGAAGCATTCTGAATGAAAAGTGTGATACAAACACAATTAATCACTAAATACTCTCCAAGAAACATCTTGTGACCACAATAACCAGCTTAAGAAAGCTTTAAAAAGCAAGTTGACAACTGCAATAGCACGTTAACTTGGCTATATTCAGCGATGTGCTCCAGACTGACAGCTGAGTTTACACACTGCAGTGTGCCGTTTCAGGGTCTTCTGGAATTACGCAGAGCTAGCTGTGAAAAGATCAGCTTGAGACCACAGTTCCCAATTAGCTTTAACTACGACCACTATCTAGCTAGCTTCTTTGTCTTTTGCCCGCACACATAAACCTTCAAACTAGCTGACACGGTAAACCATTCACTCATCTGAAGGGATTCTCTACCGCAAGGATTCTGAAAGTGAGATCCGAGATCCGGTGAAGGAACACTTCAGCAAGAATTTGAATCGGTCCTCAATCACATTCACCCATGCAGGCGGAAATGTCTTCAGTAGCTGGCAGTGAATTTATTTCTTACAGATTTGACTGCCAATACCAGCATTAGTCTTTGGTTTCATGCCATATTACAATGGATGGTCCCTGAACCACAGTAGTAGTATTTTCTAAAACATGCCCGCAGTTCTTAAGAGCTTCAAAACCACTAGTCTAGTGCGGAAGAGGATCACCCTTAAGATACTGGATGGCTGACCAGCTCCCCAGCACAAAAACTCAAGACACGCTAACAACTAAACATTAAGGAGAAAATAGTAACGAAAAGTAGCTATAGCCCGATTAAAGACATCTCCCGCCCCCTTCAAATTCTAAACGGCTTACACAGGCTCAACGTGCGTGCTCAGATCACGGGATCTGAATGAAAGTGCTTCACATCACACATGAAACACAGCGCGATTGCCACATGAGCAGGAACAGCAAATAAGTACGTCACAAAGAAGTCAACAGCAATATCCTTCAGTGCCAGCTGATTAATAAAATCACTTGGCATAGACGTTGTCTCGCAACTTACCAAACATGCTTGCGTTTTCTGTCAAACCCTGGTACTTACACAAACCTGAACTTCAATGAAATCATTAATATAGTGAAGATCGACTTACCAAAAACGAAACAAACAGCAAAAGAAATGCAAGAACGTAAAAAATGAAGTTAATGTAGAACTACAATTTACACCGCACTCGCTCCGCTTTTCTTCCCGTGCTGCCTGTATCCCGCCTGCCTCATGTCCCTGGGGTGAAAGGTCACGGCTGTCGTTTCCGTGTCCTGAATATCTATGGTGAACTTGCTGTCTGAGAGAGAGCCGCTCCTGTGGCTGGTGGACTAAAGCACTCGTACGGGAGGAACAAACAGAACATATTGTTAACTCCGCAAATATCAAGAGATATTTAAAGCAGTAGTATTGCCGTTTCCTAACGTACATTTCCAATTCGTTTACTACACGTTTCCCAGCTGGAGAGACACATTTTTAGGTCTTTACGAAATCCATTTCTGTTGGGCGTTTAAAGGCTTTTATTTAATTCCACTGACACAGCAGCTGCCCATTCAGCAGCCCGCCTAATCTGCTAGCTGTGCTGCTGTGTCTCCACAGTCAGGTCCACGTCAAGAGCTTTGGCATCTTCCGTGCTAAAAGGTGCAGCGTACACGCGTGCTGTTCACCTAAAATCCACATGCTTGAGCTAGCTTTGCTATTGATTTGTCAATTCTTCATAAAGCGGCCCCATCCTGCTCAGCATGATATTGATGAAGTATCTTACCATATTAATAAGAATTCACTACATTATACCACAGTTTATCATGATTGTATAGCTTGAAATTGCTGTGATACACCACGGAGCAGTTGTAAATATTTTGGGAGTTTTCACTAGTGACCGCCAGGTGGCGCTGGCCAAATTGGGCATTACGGCACATTTTAAGTTGCTGTTCGTGTGAGCGCTCTTTGTTTTGCCGGGTCATGCAAAATATTGGAAACCTGAAATCATGGACTCCGGTGAAGACAAGAATTGTAAGACGATTTATGTTTTTATATTAGGTTGTTTCACAACGTGTCATACAAATAGAGTAGAGCTTTTGTGATTATTTTGGGTGGCTTTTGGAAGACGGTAGGCTGTTTTAGGATTGAAAATGTTAAAATATCAGCAAAGATTAATAGCTGTCCATTTAATTTTCAATGTGTATTACAAAAACATTTTGAAAGCAAGTGGGGTTCAATGTATATTACCTAGCTATTACAGTAATTTCAATAACTGTATCGAATATCTTTACTGTACTTTTGCTGTTTTTTACGAGTTTAATGCATGTACAGCTCGTAGCATTTGTGAAACTTTAAGATATTAAAGTTTTTTTTTCCCCCAAGAATAAACTTATGCTGAATTCGCTTTCTTTGTAGCTTGTGGGACCTCCGACAAGGATGCGGACATTGCTTCTGTTATGGGATTCTCCGGGTTCGGTATGTATATGCTTGCAGTACTTTTTATTTATTAAGCTTTTTACAACCTGTTTCTAAACTGCATGACAAGAACTTCGGAGCGATTAATTTACTCCCCTTTAAATTAAGGAGATTAAACTCAATAAACAGTTTTCTTATGGTTACCAAACAATCGTCAAGAAGTGTGGACCATAAACGAAAAACCATGTAGTTATTACTAATACTACCGTATTACTATTGCTTCTGCAGAAGAAGCTGCAATATATTATAATTGCACGTACGTACTTATTTTTGTTCACGACGTCTTTTACACCCTAACCAGAATAAAAGCAGACAAACTAAAATATCTGCAGAATAGTAAAAGTAATTGTTGTGATAGTCTCTGTTTCTCTTTATGTCTCCCTTGGGAAATGTATGAACGGGCTTCTCAGAGCTGAGAGACAGGTAGTGATTATGGGGGACGTATTTTAGTGTTGCACACTGCATTTCAACACTGAGACTTGGGTGGTTCAGGTTTGTAGTGTGAATTTGTACTGCCTTTGCAGTCTTCTTTGGGTAATTTGCTACGCGCAGCAAGATTTTCCAACAGTGAATTAGTAGCAGTGTGGAGCAGTGATCAACCTTCTGGACTCGCAACTGGAAGGTTGTGGGTTCAAATCCCAGGTGAGACACTGCTGCTGTCTCCTTGAGCAAGGAACTTCAACTGAACTGATCCAGTAACATACCCAGCAGTGTACAGTAGATGGGTAAAAATTGGAGTGGCTTTGCATAAAGGTGTCAGTCCAGTACATTAGTAACTACACAAAACATTCCGGTTGAGTTCACAAAAGCCGTTCACAGAACATGTAATAGCACAGGCTTTGGCAGATGCCTTGACACCAAGTTAATGTCATTCCTCTCTCTAGGGAAGAAAGCCCGCACCTTTGATTTTGATGCCATATTCGAGCAAACCAGAAGAACTGCCATTGAAAGAAGCCAGAAAGCTTTAGGTAAGGAAATCCCGAGGTGGTGGTTTGAAGTCATGGACAGAGGATGTTACAGTGTATGCTGCACCACTGTGTGAGGCATTAATTGGTGAAGGCATGCGATGGAGCCACTCAAAGCTGTGAATCCTCACGTGTAGCTCAGGTGGGGGACAGAGGATTACAAAATTTTATTCTCACAGAAAACCTAAATGGTCTTAGGAATTTTTCTAGAATGGTCTATGAAAATAAAACCCGGAAACCAGGTTCATCAAGGTATTTTTTTTTTTAATGGGAGAAGCTTTTTATAATTTTATTTTATTTTTGTAATAAGTAGTTATTTTAGAAGTCATGAACATTTTTCATTCAGAATACTGTGCAGAATCTTTCTTTTAATTCACGCAACACCATTAGTTTAGTGCCTTTTGATCTTTCAAGCTTTGTGATTGTAATGTACAATTTCGATTCCAAATTGCAAAAGCAGCTCAAGCAAGTCAGTAATCTATTGCTTGCTTCATATTGGCATTGAACTTGGGAAGTCTGCACAGCCCTAAGTGCTTTAGTGTAGTGGATCGCCGACACCTACTTTTTTCTTGCTCTAGCTGAGCACTCAATTACTCAATAAAACTAATTGTTTTCAGAAAAAAAACAGCAGGTGAGTGGGCTCTTACCTAACACTACAGTGATAATTTAACAGCAATACTGGCCATACTCTTTAACGATAATAATTAATTATTATTATTGAGGTGCAGCCAATATGCACCAGTAGTCCCACTGCACTTCTTTAGATAGGCCACACTTTGCAAGCCCCAAAATGGAATTTAGACAGAACACCATAGCTAATCTCCCAGTTCTTACAAACAGTACCTAAAGATTGTTAATGACCAAGCAGTCTGAACCTTGGTTTTACGTCTCATTTGTCACACAGCATTTCATACAGTGCAGAGCCTTCTGTTCACCATGCTGAGGTAATGGTTTTAGAAATTCTCATGCAGCAGGGAAGGCCTGTCTCCTCTGCTTTCGATTTTTAGTTTTCCAGATAAATCAAGGCTGTGCTTACTTTTCGTTTATTCAAATGTATACGTTTCTTATATAACTGGCAAGAGAAGTAAAAGGTGTAAGAAGGCCTCTGTAGGCTAGGTCCCACTGCTCTCTGGGGAAATGCAGTGAGTTGGTGAATGTGCTGTCTTTCCCGTCAGAGGAGCGAGAGATGGAGAACATGCAGCAGATGTCTGCAGGGAGCTCTCAGTCCAGCAAGGCGCCTGTGCAGCCTAGGAGAGGAATGTCAGCACCGTCTGCCTCCAGGTAAACCAGGAATGGGTTTACTGTGGGTTATGCAGGACCTTGTCAATACCTCTTGGACTGCTTGTGGTAGAGAAGTGATTTTAATATTTTTAGTTGAAATGTGCTTTGTTTACATATATCAGTGTGCATGCTGTCTTTGAGCCAGAAGCAGAGAGGAAATGCATTAAGTCGGAGAGGGACATCGTTGTCATTATCAGTCAGGAGACTGATCTTAATCTGATGTTAAAGATCTTACCAGATCTGCTTAAAATATAAATGGTCCAGAGAGTCTCTCTCTTAGGACTTACAAAGTGCAATAAGAATAGTTTGATTAAAAAAAGTCTCCCCTGTGACCTTGTACTTTACAGAAGAAATGTATAACTTTACACACCTATTTAGAAAATGGATGGCTGGAATTTAAAGACTTGGGCCACTGGAAAGCGGATAATATTTTGTGAAAATTACATGGAAATCTTTGCAAGTCAGGACTGCAATGTCCAGTATAAAAGGCAACATCTAATAATACCCTTGAAAATTGAGATAAATCTGTTTAGATTCTTAAAGGCATTAGGACATATGAAAGCTTGGCTGAGGAAGGATTGTTTGGGTGGACCAGTACAGCATGACAGAGGAACGACAAATCAAAAACTGTGTGACTTATGACTGTGTGACTCAAAAGCAGGTGTGAGCCTGGTCAGTACCTGGATGGGAGACCTCCTGGGAAAAACTAAGGTTGCTGCTGGAAGAGGTGTTAGTGGGGCCAGCAGGGGGTGCTCACCCTGCGGTCCATGTGGGTCCTAATGCCCCAGTATAGTGACGGGGGACACTATACTGTAAACAGGCGCCGTCCTTCGGATGAGATGTAAAACCGAGGTCCTGACTCTCTATGGTCATTAAAAATCCCAGGGCACTTCTCAAAAAGAGTAGGGGTGTAACCCCGGTGTCCTGGCCAAATTTCCCATTGGCCTTTACCAATCATGGCCTCCTAATAATCCCCAGCTCTGAATTGGCTTCATTACTCATCTCTCCTCCCCACTGATAGCTGATGTGTGGGGAGCGTTCTGGCTCACTATGGCTGCCGTCGCATCATCCAGGTGGGGCTGCACATTGGTGGTGGTGGAGGGGAGACCCCATTACCTGTAAAGCGCTTTGAGTGGAGTGTCCAGAAAAGCGCTATATAAATGTAAGCAATTATTACTATTAATTCTTTTTGAGCTTCAGAAGGTCAGGGTGACAGCCAGCCTCATGGGTCTCTCCTTTCCTCCAGCAGGGGGCAGGAGAGCGACAGTGAGAGCAGCAGCGGCAGTGAGGACGAGGATTCGGAGGAGGAGCAGATCGGACCCCCTCTGCCCCCCGCCATGGCCACACGGGGAGGGGCCGACAACGAAGAAGAATTCGTGGGGCCACCTCTGCCTCCTGGATACACAGAAAACGACGATGACGAAGACGATGAGGCTCAGGATGACGACGACGACGACGTGAGTTTCAGAATTGTTTTTCCTTAAAAAGGAAAGACGTGTTGCTGATGCTTTTTGTTGGATCCTGGTGTCTGCGATCCAATATTAGCCTCTACCTCTAGTTCAGGTTTTGGTTGGTCACAGCCTTTTCTGGACAGCACTACGTCAAACAACAGTGCATGGAATGATTAATGAGCTTTGTGTCATTAATTATTCGTACCCATTGATACAGGCTGACATTTTATCGATGTGTCAAAATAGTGGCAGTGACACGGAAGTGTCTTGAACAGCTGAGCTCCACCTGGGATTTGAATCCACGTTTCTGTTGCTCCACTCTGCTGTGCACTCAAATGAAAAGGCTGATGTTCTCGTTCTTCATCAGAATAGCTGCTTTTAGTCATCTTATTCAGTATAGGGTGTGTAGGTTATGTTGCAGTAAGCCTCACAATTCCACTTTTTTCTTTAATAAAGCTGCAGAAGATTGAAGTTGCACAGCTGCATTTAAGGCTATAAGGTCTGCCTTTGTAAATGTTCAAACCAGCAGTTCTTAAGCTAAAGCAAATGCCTTTTACTGCCCTGAAGATGAATCTGCATAGCCTGGCCTGTGATTTATTTTCTTCATCTCAGGTGCTTTTAGGTTCTTGGGGGGTGGCCTGGACACCACAGTCTGAAGGACTCCAGATGTCTGATGGGAGAGTGAGGGAGGCGGGTGGG